GGGCGGTGTCTGTTGGACGCGTGCGAAGCGGGTGGGCACAGCAACGTGGAAACAGACTAGCGGGCGGTAGTACTTTCTTTCTCCGTGGATTGCGAGTTGTGTGACTTTCGCAAAAACAATGTGGGGGGACCACGAGATTTTACTCAGAAGTCAAGCCTTGACAATCACCGCCATGTGGCATTACTGCCGACAAACTACATACAGCAGTAACATGTTGCAAACCCGCATTGGTTTTACCGCCTCTGCCATGGGAGCCGTTCCCGCAAAAACGGAATAACATGCACCTCCTACCGCCGAAAACATTACCACCGTCGAAGACCACGGCATTGCCGCCGAAAATGTGTCCACCCTTAAAAAAACAGTTTCCAAACCCTAGCAAATTTCGAAGTCGATCTAGACCATACTAAACCCCGGTCGCCCCGGTGGTCTAGCTGGTAGCCTCGTAACCTTCTAGAGGTCAGGTCAGGGGTTCGAATCCCGGCGTAGGCGAGCTTTTCTTGCAAAGTGAGTTTTTCTCTCGCTTCCGCTCCTGGCCAAGTGGATAGCGCTAGTTCGTGTGTACACAGAGGGAAGAAAGTGCTGAACTCTTCTCGCATTAAAAATTGAAGGCGAAGTACCGCAGGAGGGGAGGGGAGAGATAGGCCCTTCTGTGTGACCACGGGTTGGAATAAACGGCACTAGTGCTGTGAGCGCTGATTTGAAGTGAAGAAAAAAAAAAAAAAAAACGTGGAAGCGGATGTAGTGTAGTCATGAGTAATCACACGAAAGACCACGGAAGGCAGTGACTACTGTTGGAAAAGTCTTCTTCGTGGCGAAAAAACAACAGATGCATGCATCGGGCGCCACCTTTACGAGGTACTGTACGCACATTCTTTATATGCGTATGGATGCATAAATTACACGTCGAAAACTAGCGATTTGCTATGGGCTTTTCAACAAATATTCACCTCTTCCACCACGGATGGATGAGAGTGCGTGATATAGGCTACATACAAAAAGGCTATAATAGCAATGATTGAAGGATGACCAAACAACTGCTGTATTTAGGCGGTTCCGCGAGCTCGGCCTTTTCAAATCTTGTTGCTATCTACCCACATAGAGTAAGTAGGAGTAAAAAAGCCGATCCGGTCTCCAAACGCAGCTGCTGTGTAGCTGCAGCTGCTGAATAACGCATGTTTGTGTTGGTCGGTTGTCGGTTCTTCCATCTACTTCTTTAGGTTTCATATCATACGGCGGGCGCGGGAGAAGAAAGAGCGCATGGAGCGGCGGAATGCGCTGCCGGTCCAAGCGCCGACGGTAACAACATTTTCCGGGTGCATACAGAGTAGGTCGGAGAAGAAGAAGAACAGGCGCGAGGAACGTCCGTGGGAACGGTCGGGAGAGGACAGAAAGAGAGAGGAAGACGCGATTGGGTGCTGGTTGCTGAATGAAACATTTTTGTCTGCACGCCGCTGCCGTTGTCGTTGCCATCGCTCTGCTGCTGCCGTGCGCGGAAGGAAAAGTAGGGAGCTACTACATAGACATTAGTCCTGCCACAACCTCAGTCGGTCGGCTCCCCTATTGGATACCTGTAAATCAATGGTCGCAAGTAGACTTAACTGTCCGGTGCACGAGCGTTCCGGTCTATGGCAAGATGCCTCACGGGCGCAGAGGAAAGCGCGCAGAATATTTTCCAAGACAGCAGGACATGTTTTTGGGGCTTCGAGACGCGGCGCGCCCCGCTTACTGCTGCTGCGGTGTGCCATCATGCCGACGGCAGCGGCAACAGAGAGGGATGACAACAGCAGCAGCTCCCAACACCAGGGCCGACAAAAAGACACTCCCAAGGCACGCGCTTCCACACCTACTCGGCGGAAGAACCGAACCGATCCCACAGCTCTCTCGGCTGCTGCCCCCAACAACAAACAAGGCTGTTTGGCGGTTCGTGCGGTGCAATGTAAAATATGCTGAAATTAGAGAAGAACAGGCCTTCTCTTGCCTGCCTGCGCGCACAAACGCAGCGTTCGTTCAGCGCAGAACAGAAGACCTTCGGTTTGCCGCCAAACCGCGCCTCCATGGGCGTCGCCTGGCGTGTTTCCACATGCCGCAGGACAATAACCCTCTCCACTCACCGAAAAACAGTTTCCCATGGCTGGGGGTGTTGCGCCACTGGCAAGGCGGGGGCACGTGATGGAACGGTTGCTGTTGTTTGCGGTGTTGTGATGTTGCGATGATAAATCTGTAGCTTGGGTAGGCGGGAGTGGGGGGCCGGGAAGGAGGATCCGGGGGGGGGGCGGGGGGGGGGGGCAGCGATAACGTGACAACCATCATCATCATCATGTGCATGTGCCCGCATGATGGTGCCTCGTATCCTACTTGTTACGCCACTGCACGGGGTAGTTGTCGTAGGTCGCCCTCGGGCACCACAGAAACTAGCTGCTGAGAGAACGCATGCGTCGCGCTTAAGCATACCATGGGAGAGTTGATCCTACTGCGTGAAACCACACACAGACAAACAGAGGCGTAAAAAAAATCCAGCGTAGACTTGCGTAGACTATAAATGTATGTACACATCAGACGCCCCAGGCCATTGGAGGACATGAACTATTTTACGGCGGCGTCGTGTCCTTTGTTTCGCTGATTGTGCCTGTGAACTAATTTCGAGTTTGAGACACGCAACAAACAACTACACGGCTGCACTCTATTCCTACAAGCTACACACGTGTTTTTTGTTGGTTGAAGTTTTCCCAGCAAGGTTCGCTCGCCGCGGCGCCATCCCCTGGGAGATCGACGGGGTCCACCCATGATGACGGGAGGGACCGATTACTTTCCAATAAGGACCACTCCGAGTGCACCAAGTGCGAGCACCAAAACAGAGTCCTCGTACGCGTACCAGTGGGCGAAAAAATCATCGAGTTTTTTAGTGCTGGGTGGCATACCGCGCTCAAGCGCGGTGTGTGCATTCATTCCTGTTCGCCCGCCTGAAACTTGTGTGAACCAAAGACCCTGTAGTAGCGAGACAATAGCAGCGTCTCAGGCATGGAGATGCGCCAAGGGTGGGAGGTAACATAATTCCTTCTCAAGACAAACATCTACTATCCAGATAGATGACGAGTCTTTTCTCAACACTCTCTCGAGCATATGTCTCATGCTCCGACTCCGTCGTCCTGGGACGGGTAGTATTTACCACGGATAGCATCCTCACACGGCCGAGAAAACCGGGTTCGCGATTTGTTCATCACCAGTCAAGCCGCAAAATTCAAAACGTAGGGCTACACGCCCGCTCGCGCACTGCAGCTGCTCTTACTGCCACACACCATGCGTGCAAGCCTCTTCCCAACTTCGCGACGACACCGAAAGCGCCACTTAGTCAAGGAAGCCGATTCGAAAGTCGCCGGTCAGCCCGCCTCTAAAACTCTAACACGGCACACCATGACCCGTCGGCCCCACACTCCCTCGGCTGTGGAAGCGGACCACAAGAGGGGAGACCGCACACTGGTCAATATCCCTTCCAAGAGCGGCAACACACAACAAGGCTACAGCGCCGTAGCTTCTCGAATCTTCCCTCTCCGTTTCCCCTCCCGGAAAGAAAATGGTGCTATGCCATGCCTTCGGCGTGCCGAAGAAGAGCGTGCCTCCTAGATCTCGAGATGCACGTTCTTTCAGACGCGTAGCTTGCTGTTCTCTACAAACGCACCGCTAGCCTTAGGTCCGGTCACTCACAGAATAGCGGGGAGGAAGACTAAGTCGTAGGGGCATGAAGATACGACTGAAGCGCCATCGCGCATCACGAATCATCAAAAGCTCACGACTACGGGGGGGCCAGCAGCACAAGCAACGGCCAGACCCTTATACATCAAACTGGCGACCAAAACCTCACGGACCCACATGACAACGAAAAGGTTTTCCCCGTCGCGAAACAGCGTGGTCAGAAAGATGCCGACACAACCAAACGAACGCCGTCACCTTTTCCTACCCTCCCGCCGCCCACTGAACCCACTGAGTCGTTCCCCAATACTCCCAACAACCGTGCAGACAAACAAACCAGCATGGAAATAATAAACCTGCACACCGTTTTAAAAGAATCATACCTCCCTCTTGCGGCAGTATCGGATCATCAACAACCCTGACAACAAACACGTCATTCGAACGGCGAAAGACGGATGCGGCAATTTATTTGTCGTAGCCCCTGGCCCGCCTGGCGGCCAGCTTCTGCTCCTTGAGGACCTGCTTGTGGTCCACTCGCTCCTTGTTGAGCATCGCCGTGCGGCGGGCGTTACCGATCTTGGACTTCGTGTTGGTGTACGCCGCGTAACGCTGAGAGAGAGAGAGGGGGGGTGGCGGTGGGGGTGGGGGGGGGAAAGTCGCATTCTCGTCCCACCAATACTACCGTCTTTCATTGGGCGTCCGGTTGTGCCGTCGGTGCTACGTATGTAGACAGACAAAAACGCACAACCATACCAAACGACTGGGGAAAATGGTCGTTCAGCGCGCACCCGTAAGACGCCCATAAAAACATACCAAACGACCTATGAGCGACATGACACAAGAGAAACGCTTAGGCCATAGAAGTGTGACATCTTCTCGAAGCAGTGCGACCCAACTTTTCAAAAAAACACCGAAAACATAGCGGTAGGACCCACGAACACACAACAAAACAACTATCGTTGTGAAAAAAACGACGCTTGGGATTGTCAGTTGCAAACGAGAAAACGACAGCAACGTTCCTCGCTTTTTTCCTTTTGCGGTCATGATATCTCGAAAGGATAGTCTTCCTCTGTTTATATGTATATTCCTAAAAAAAAAATGCCTCGGTACAGATGACAGACAGATCGCACCGAACAATCAAACGCACCTGTTCTCGGCCCCTGACTTTCGTCTTGGGGCGAAATCGGATCCCCAGCGTCGCGCACATCTCTAGGCACTCCTTGGGCTCCTTCTTGAAGTAGTAGTTCAGTTGCCTGCACACCGGACAGACACACACGGCCAGTCGACAGAGAGAGGAGCGTGGAGACATGATGCGGCCAGCGAGAGAGGGTGGGTCAGCAGATGACAGCCTGGCGTTCTCCCAAGTTGCGTTGCAACTTCCGGTTCGGCAAATACTGGTTCAAACCGTTTCAGTCGGGACAGAGAGCAAAATCACAACTGCAGCGGGGGACCTTCGAAACTCGAGGTCACGGAAGATGCCTCCCACTGCTGTTGCTGCTGCTGCTGGACTACTCTCATTCTCTGACCGCACTCCGGTGGTCGTGTGCGTGAGCACCAACTATCAATACTTGATGTGTCGACACAAGGCACTTCCTCGCGAACTGTCGCCTTTGCTTCATGTCGTCAGGGCGGGGGGGGGGGGTATTTTTCTTCGCATTGCAAACCTATCCCCCAACAGCAGTAGCGGCAATTCCCTGAATGGCAAAAATCTGGACTGTTGCCGGTTCCTTTCCGTACCATCATAGCGCGCAGCGCACATTAACGGCAAATAAAAAACACGGGAAAAAGAGACAACGCATGGGCGACAACCACGCGAGAAGATCCCTCTACAGATACGCACCTACGCCTCTTGTTAACCATGGTGATGAGTCCGCGCCGAGAGTGGTAGTCGTGCGGGTGCTGCTGCATGTGCTTGGTGAGGTACACAATCTTCTCCGTCAGGATGGCCACCACGATGCGAGGCGAGCCCGTGTCCTGGTCGTTCTTGCGCCACTTGAGCTGCGCGGCCTGCCCCGCCAGCTTGTTAAGGTAAGCCTGCAAAAAACAAAACGTAGTAGACACCACGTTGTAGGCAACGGGGGGGGGGGGGGGGGCATCCCGACTAAGGATACCGTTGTAGTCCCGACTCAAAGGTAAGCAGTTCTCGCGCCCGTGTATGCATACATTGTCGGACAGGTGGACGCCAGCTTCCGGCCATGGAACAGGCTCATGGCTCGGAGAAATCACAACCAAGTGGGAGAATCCACCACACCGCCCGCGACGGGCTGAAACATGAACCGGTCGCTGAATCCCGTTAACAAGAGGACGGCACCAATGTCGGGGGGGGGAGGGGGGGGGAAGCGACAACCAAGCTGTTGCAGTGTTTTTTTCTGTTTTCAAATGCGGAACGCGGGCGGATATGACAAGCCCAAAAAAACAAAAAAAAATCGTGCAGAAGCAGACGACGCACACCCACCACCTGTGAAACGCGGTGAAGCGCCCCTTGTTCACGTTAAAATGATCGATATACACTTTTGTGATATCTTTTACGTATGACTAGGCGATACAGCCGCTCGCTCACAAGGAAAAAAGGTGACGCTACGGTATTGGGGGGCTGTGGGTGGGGGAGTGCCGTTCCGAGCACCGATTTCCCCTTCGTCTGACGAGCGCTAACAACAAATACACAACCGGCAACACAAGTGTACGTTTCGAGGAGACAAATAAAAAATAAGTTTGGCGCGGAGGCAACTACAAACCATGGGACGCGTTACAGCTGGTGCTCTCACGGATTTGTTCGTTGTCAAGCAGGAGTGGCGTATGCCGAGAGCGCGAACACAACCGTTTTGAGAGAGATGCGGACAACTACGTAGCTTGCGCCAACGCCAGAGTGCGCGAGGGGAAAAGCGCCTGCACTGCCTCGCCACGTGCATAGGCATGCATGGCTGGCCTTTGATGTGCGTTCTGCGTGCGGCCGTATGGTGGAAGGAAGCTGCACCACCTACTTATCGCCAACTGCTGTTGTCGCTTTTCTCACACCACCCATCAGTAGGTAGAGTAGACACACCAGTACCTTGAGCAAATTCAACTTCAATTCGGTCGAGGCGTTTCGTGTCCGAAATCAGCCTTCAAATTCGTGTGGCGGTGCTCGTGCAGCATGTACTTGCAGGGACGGATAGACTACACGAAATCTCATCAGAGGGTGCGACATCAATCAGTACCACCGGGCTACAAGCAGTGCCCTATTTTCAGCTTGTTCCCCTTCCGTTTGGCGCAAAAGCAGACATGTATTTTTCGAAACGAAGAACCCAAATCATTCATGTTTTCATTCAAGAACATTTCGAGCGGGTAGTCGTTACCGCGAGTTATGTTACTGCTGTATTCTAAAGCACTGCTGCTTCCGTCGCGCGATTGCTCGAAAGTATTCCACCTCAAACGAGATCAACTAATGGTCATGGGCGTTGGCGAATCCACAGCTAGGGGACAACTGTTTGGTGAAAGGTGAAGAAAACGTATTCCATCAGCGCAGCCACTATATGTCATGCCAGGGTAAGGACGAATACACGCATCCCTCCGGACCGGTAGGAGGCATTCTGCCTTCTTTCCTTCCCAGATAGCGGTCCTTGTCACGTATGTACCCCGTACATCTACCAATCTACGCTATTGTAAAACGCTTTCAAGTAATGCACACACACCTGCTTTGGCTTGAGGTCCTGCTGGTCCTGCGTTTCCACGCCCATGACCGAGTCCAACTCGTCAAGGTCTGCCAAGACATCCGCCGCCCCGGACGCCTCCATCGTCGACATGGACGGCGGCACGAGGGATCGGCGAGCCACGCTAGTGACGGAAGAAGCCGCCTGTCATGTTGACGCGGTAGTGGGGGAGTTCGAGGAAGAAAGCGTTAGCCGTCGGAGGACGATGCGATATCGTTCAGAACCCACAGCACCACCAACGCACAACACTGCTAGCGTCAACACCCCATTGCATCATGTCGGTAGTGGGTCACTGCTGTGTGAGCCGAACACGTTGGTTGCGCATTGCTGCAGAGCACGGCAACGGGGGTGCCGTGTATCGTGGATTAGTGTAGGAAAGAGCCAACGACCGACGGTTCGCACCGCACCAACTGATGACAACGCAATTTTGGACGTATACTTCCATAGATCGACATGAAGGGGCACACGACAGGACGAGCACCAGAAAACACACAAAAGACAGTGGGAGCACTCGAGCATGAATCGCTCCGACCCTGCGCTAGAAGCAGGTTCCCCCCCCCTGTGACGTATGGCACAATGAAACATGTTTTCTGAGGCGACGGCGGCCCCCAGTGTTGCCTCATGTTTCTTTTTGGTCGCTCCTCTGCTACGCACACGTTCAACTACAGAGAGACCAAACGAAATTGGTGGGTTGGACCGGCCGCCAGAACCAAGGAAGAGTGGTAGTAACCTCGAGGTGGATCGAAGAGTGTTCGCATACACGGCTGCCGGAGCTGACCATAAGCCCGCGTCCTGGGCACACGCGGGTCTTTGTCTGTCTCACCGGCTGACCGAGCAAAACGTGAGGTCAAACCAAGCCTCCCAGAGCAAAAATGCGCAACAGGTGTACCGGACCAACACGGACTGCCCAAAACAGACTGCCCCATCAGTGGCGTTATGCCCACGGCCAACTCGCAGAGCACAGCCAGTGTTACTGCCTCGCCATCTGGCCTCTTCCTCTGCTAATCATACCTTTGATGCGCGTGAGACTCTGCATGCTCCTCTCGCCGCTCCGCCCCCAAGCCCGAATGCGTTTGCCGTGGACAAGCACGCCAGAGCCGCAGCCGCGACGCAGAGAAGGTTGTACATAGTCTAAAGAGGACCCCACCAAGATATGGTGCTTACCACACGCCTTCAATTGAGTTATCAGGCGAGAGCTGCGGTGGCGGTACCTCTTGAAGGTATAGTTGCGTAATTACTCGCTTGTGTGTCAGTCAGCAGCCCGGCCGCGAGGAGGGGGGGACGTTTCTGGAGTAACCCCGGGTTTCATGCAGTTCGGATTCTTCATCAATTCGAAATTCGAAACTGCTGCCCAACCGGCAAAAATAAAAAATAACACGCGGCGTTTCCTCGTGTTCATAGCCGTGTGCCTCTCCCGTCCCCGGTGTCACAGGCACGTTAACGAAAAAAAGCCACCCTGCCGTACCTGTAGGAAACATGTTCGATGTTGCCACGGATGTTACCGTCCTGCAAGAGATTGCGTTCTCCTTTCATCAGGCGGTGGCAGCAGGGCAGGTAACCTGGGAAACATGTTGCCCCGGCGTTGTTGCTCCGAATTTGAAATCACAACGCAGTACAGAGTAGTGGTGTCATCGACCTCCTCGTAAGAAACATACATTTTCAGCAAGTCTCCAAAACTCACAAACTGAGCACAGCAGTAGTCTATTGCCAAGCTCAACATATGGGACTTATTGTAAGTGCCGACGGCTGAGCGTCTGAGCGTCTGACCCCGTCGTTTTCTTAGTCGTTCAAAAAAGTGAGCGCCCCCTTGATGTCCGGTCGCCAGTTTCACCTTCACTTGTATCACACACCTCATCGTCCTGCTTACTCAGGGGATGAGTTACTACGGTAGGAGGGCTACGTATGTAGAGCCCTCCGCGGTACGCAACCCCGTCAGTTTTACCAGGTAGGTTTTTAGAACCCAAACAACCCATTATGGACAGCGCTGCAACACTCGACAATAATCTGTTATTTCCCTCGTCGCCATCGTCGACAAGAAATGGGGGCTCTCTGAACCGGATACACACCGAGGGGCCGAGGGGGTTTGACCCAACAACGTCGACTAACCAATGGCTTTGATTATCTTTAGACGACGGCGAGACCCCACATCGGGCTCTGTGTGTTGTTGGTACTACCTTTTTTCTTCTCCTTTTCAGTTGAAACTATGTAGCCACTCTGTGGCGCGAGCTGCCGTCGGTGAGACGGTGTACCGTCCTCCTCAGTTTCTTGAGAGGCGGGGTTCCAAGAGTTGGTTTGGGGCATGAGCCAGGAAAGCCAAGCCAGACGCGTTCAAGGCGGTGGCGTTTCCCACGATCTCGATCCGCCCCACCCTGTGGGCAGTACCGGCCGGCCCTCATGTCGGACTACCTGTCAACGCCCGGAGTCTCGAAATCTCTCGCCAAGTTACCATTTACAGCGCCAAACGAGCAGAAGTTCGACGGGCGGATCGATGAAACAACGGCGAGAACAAAGGGTAGTAAGGGTAGTACTGCTGTAGTGTAGCGTAGACGCGAATCGGTTAGGCTAGGCTAGCCCAGCTGACGCCACTTCCAGCCTAGCACAGTACCAAGGTTGGGATGAAAAGCCAAACAATCATAGCGCAAGAGGTGTGACGTTATGTCACATGAAAGGTTTCAAAGAACTCAGTCCTAGATTTTCTTCTTCCGTTACATGCCTACAATACTTCACCGAGTCCGAAGTTCAGAATCAACAACAAGCAAGAGCTTCCTAACTGGTAGGGAAAAACGAAAAAACAAAAAACAAGGTCTCGTGATCTACACGATCGCTTCTTCCGACATAGTGCTTGACCCTTGTCCGCAGACCGTGTCTAGCCCCGCATACATATCCGTATCCCACCGGCAAATCTGACAACATTCAAACACGGAGCCGACACAAGGCAGCTCTACAGACAGATTCCCGGGTAACACAAGCCGCGGTTTGAGGAACTACAGACGCCGACCGCATTCCGCCGCAACAGCAACAAGGGCATGAGGCCGGCCTCATGACTGGTCGCCGCCCTCTGATTTAATCTCTGCCCTGGCCTCTGCTAGTGCGTCAGACGGGACCTTGGACAAGAACAAATCGAGTTTTGCTCGCGTTGCGATCAGGGCATTTACTGTGAACTCGAGAGCTTCCGAGCTGAGTTTCTTGGTCGCCCCGGTCCTGACGGGTTGTGTGGTGCGAGAAGAGATGCAGGAAGGGGGGGAAGGGACAGATAGATGTAAAGAGGGAACAGGTGAACGGAGGGGGGAGGGAGACAAGGAGAAGCCAGGATAGAAACGAACGGTGCCAGCTACCGCCCTCCTCCCCAAACAAAACGCTCACCCCTCCTTCGGGACGATTAGCCATCGGTGATCGGTCGTGTCGGAACAATAACCGCTAGGCATGCAAAACATGAGCACCGCCGCCTCCGGCTCACCCCCTTCCGACTGATCCTCGGCTCACTGGGGTGGCACGGAACGCGATTATAAACCTCTCTCTAAGGGGAGTGAGAAAGCAACGCGCACAACCCACGCGCAAGCATACTGAACAACCAAATATTACTCGTTGCACGCCAGCCGCTTTACGGCAAAACCGAAGTGTCGTTCAAGGCCGCGAACCGCAGCAGAATATCCGAGTTCCTCAAGCATCAACTCTAGATATTTGCTGATGATGATGCTGCTGCTCTGTTGTTGCTTTTCTTGCACGTGCTGCTTCTGGGCGGTCTTGGCAGAGCTGGGCCAGCAGCATGGCAAGCATCTAGAACTCCTGTAGAGCCTCGAACTAGAATAAGGGATGATTCCCTACAACATGTACATCAGTACTGCAAAAATACCACTGCTATCACTCAAAAGTGCTTGAGTGCCAAACCGATGTAGATGTGCACCTACCTGTCATCCACTTCAACGGGAAAGTACTCCGCCGTCTGCGCCAGGTACTCCAGCGCCTCTCTCCCCGCGGACGCGGCCGCGTTTCTATCCCCGCTAGATTCGATGTACTTGGCACCCTGCTGGAGGCTCTCGTCCAGCTTGTAGTTCTTGATGAGCCCCTTGACAAGCCCGGTCAGGCCCGGCGGTGCGCCGTCGTTGGTAAGGGTGTCCTCGAGCTGGATTACAGAAACGAAAAAATATAACGACCACCAAAAAAAGGTGGTGTGTGGGGGGGTGTACTCGTATGTTTTGCGTGCCTTAGCGGTTAGACCATTGACCACGCGTCCTCGAGAGGACGGAGCATTGTTCCCACAGGACCGATCACCGATGGCCAGTCGTTCCTTCCTACTTTGCCAAAGGTGGCTCAAAAATGTCCTCCCTAGTCTGTCTATCCTAACGATATCCCTTCCCGCCTTTTCAAACCACTTCCTACTCCCTAGTACAGCTACCGTCTTCTCCTCTCTATTCCATGCCTCAAACATCTCCCTGTACCTCCCTTCTATTGTTCCAAGCTCAGTCATGTACACTTCCCTCTCCTCTTCGTACCACTGACATTCCACGACTACATGAACACGGTCTTCGCATTCGAAGCCGCAATCACATTTGAACTTGTCGTCTTCGTCGTCTACCGTCCTATGTCTTCGTCGACGTTCTGGAAGGCCTATGTCCCCGGTCCTGAATTTGACCTTAAGCTTTGTCCCTGCATCCATTGGTCCATGTAGGTAATCATTGAACGTTATTCCTTCTTTCAACATCCCGTACACTTCTAGACCCTCCTTATCCTCGGTTTCTTTCCTTAGATTATGTTCTTCTCTCTCGGCACAAGCAACAGATATCTTCCCCTTGAACTCCTGTAGACCCTCCGTTTCCAGCGTTTCATCTTCGTCGATGTCGAACCCCTTCCATACGTCCTCTACAACCTTGACCCATTCCGTGGGTTGTCTACCCCTCTTGTTGTATACCCACTTCGCCTCCCATACTATTCTCGGCAACCTCTCCTTTCCCATCCCGCACATGCGATACTGCCATGTCAGCTTCCTTGCGTCTCCTCCCGACCGTAGGGATTGGATCCCCAATGCTGCCCTGACGCCTGCATTACTTGTGCGCTTAAAGGTGGTGTGGCGGGTGCCAAAAGAAGGGGTTCGGTGATGGGATGTTCCATAGCGGCCAACAAGCCCCCTGCTAGAACGGGGCTAATATAAAAGGCGGACTACTCGTTGATGGGGTTCGCAGTTGGTAGTTGGAACATATGTCACCACGGGGGTATATGGAGCGAGTGTGGTGCGGCTCTGTGCCGACTGAATTCCACAGCCCTTTGTGGACACCGCTGCCCTGGCGCAAGGCAACTCCTGTTATCCCACTGTCTGCGTCCTTTTGTCAATACAATAGTTTCTCTCAAGATGTACACACACACGTAAACCGGATTCATACTGCGCTGCAACACACGGATCTGCTGAGATACCTGGTGATGCACGTTAACCTATGTGTGTTACGCTCGAAAAGGATGTATTCGATGGAGGGTGTATCTTAGCGGAAGGCCTTCGCACGCAAACACACACACCGTCAGCATAAGTTCTTGCCTGCTTCCGGCCTGTTGGTTGTGAGCTCTGCTGTACTAATAATACTGCTGTATTGCCGCTCGTTCCTTGGGTTTGCCGCGATCCACGTTGTTTAACACATGCGGCGGCTTGCGCGATTCTAATATCCAATGGGTGCGTTTCATAGAGTCAACCGATGGCGCTCGTTCATGAAACGGCAGAGGGATAAACTCGTGGAGCCTTGAAAGTCCGTTGGTCTAGCCCTGTTGCTCGAGAAGCAAGAGAGAGTGCCAATGGGTCCACATCGAATGATACGTGTCATCAAACCACCTCCCGCACAGCTGTACTTGTTTCCTACGGTGCTTACTCACTCATCACCTGCTTGGTCGAGATGCGCACCCTTTCGACGTTCAGCAAACAGTCTCTCAGCGGCTTCGTCGCTTTCCCGCCCGACGAGCCAGCGCCCAAGTGCATTACTTCGCTGACGTCCAAGCCCTTCACTTCTGACAAGTCGATCCCTTTCGCAACAGAGGGTTCGGGCAGCCCAATAGCTGCGACCGACGCTAGCAAGGCAACAGCCCCCCCCTCCAAGAAGCCTCGCCGACTGCTGCTGATGCTGCCACTGCCGAGTTCATCCCGCGCCGTCATAGACAAGCACGTAGGGCTAGATGCCGATCGATGTTGGTGGAAACAACCCAGTGCTGCCTTCGTTGGAGCTAGGAATGCGCCAGATGGAGATGTATACAAGGCGAGGAGCACCGCCAGCGCCCAACATCCTGAAGCAGTTGCGTACATGATACTACAGCAGTAGTCTACTGCTTGTAGCTGCCTGAGGCAAGGGGGAGATATGTACGCACAGGTCAGTCACCACGGCTTCTTTACAGGCGTCAGCTGCTGATATGCTTGAACGCTTCAACGGGTAATGCAGGTAATACTCTTGCAAGAGTCCTGATGAGGTACGTGCAGCGGAGGTGTTCAACCTGTGCTGTTACCCTCGCTCTTCAAACATGCATGTGTCAGCCCGTCACACACATGCACATCTACGTTGCACGGGGGGTGACGCGATATGGTTAATGACTTGAAGGTAGGGGTGTAAGTAGGAGGGGTGTTATTTAACGTGCTTGATTATATCGGTACAAGCATGTTCGGGCCCCAGGTCGACTATTCCTCCTTCTCCTGAAGCCTCTCCTAGCGCTTCGTATGTGTCGTCCATGTCCCCTCCCTCGCTGGCCAACTACAGACGGCGCCAATGATTGACTCTTGCAGAAAAAAAGTGAACCCGCCGTAGATGACACGTCATGTCGACCAGGGATTTTTGGCCCATCTGAAAAATATATATATCCTTTCCGTTCGACTGTGGGTATATCTCGAATGGGTAGTCTTTCTGTGGGTGTATTTATTATTCCTTAATATAACCTTTAAAAAAAATGGACCAATCAGAAAACTGCGGGCACATTTCTCTCTCTCTCAGTTTTCTGATTGGTCAATTTTTTTTATTGGAGATTTTTTTTTCTCTAATGTGGCCCCAAACCTCGTTTCTCATTCCCTTGAAGTAGGGTAACCAACACATTTACTACGTTGTAGGTCTTAGTATAACGGGATCCTCACCGCCGTGAGCACCGCTGTGAGCCTGTTATTATTATGGCTAACTTTAAATTTGTCTTTCGTGAGCCGGAATTTCCCAGGTTCTCAAGTGGGGCCGCCCCTCTGTGACCCCGAAACACTGCTGGCATGCGGGCGTGTCCGGACGTATCCAACGCTGCACTTCTTGTGGATGCAGTACAGTAGTCTTATGATGGGGTTTAAGGCGCGGAGACGGTCGTAACCATGAAAAAGAGCCACACCCGGCTGTCATCAAACACAAAAAAACTGTTCTCTCACATTGCCGAGGGGAAGGAGAACACCTATAGTTCTCCCCGAATTGTGCAACAAAACACGGAGGCTCCATCAACTAAAACAACACCTTCCCTTGAACCCCCAGCAACACGATCACCATATGCATACTACACCACAAACGCAACCCGATGTTAACCCTCCATTGCCCGAAGAGCACCCTTTGTCCCTCCCGCACACCTGGCCAAGGCCGCAAAATCAACCTTGCCACACCCCTCCAACAACCACAGGAACCAGCACCACTTGTACACACAAAATCTACTTTGGACTCCATGCGAACCCCCTTCATCGGCCGAAACGCCCTTAGTCTACAAAACAGATATGTATCGTTCCTCCACCAGTTCGTGCGTACAATAGTAAAACGTCATGCTGAACTCCTTCAGAACTCCATGCCGCCCATTCCCCCCATGTCAAAGTCGTCCGCGAATGGGTCTTGACCCATGTCGCCCATCTGCGACATCATCGCGTCCATCGCAGCGAGATCATCCGGGCCGTAGATTCCCGGCCCACCTGTGGGGGGTTTCGGTAGTGGATGACGGTGTTTCGCGTTGGTCGGTGGGCTTCAGCGGTTCCAAATGGCGGGGAAAGGCTATCATTTTCCGTTCTGTGGCTGGAGGTTAGAGTGATCATAGCGCGGTTGGTTTCAGCTGTTTCAGCGGTAAAGGGCGGAAAGACTTGTCACTTCTGTTCTGTGGCTGAAGCTTCGTGCCGCCTTAGCACCCTTTGGGGGACGGCGGCGACGCGGATGGGGATCGGTCTCGTCGTTTCTTGTTGCCATGGTTAAGTTGCCACCCAGTCAGCCAGCCGCGCATCACGCCTGTAATGTTCCCGCGACGCAACACCGCCGCCGTTCGTTCTGCTCGTGCAAAAGGGGCATCGCATTCCAATTTTTTCCGGCAGCAGCGCTACCCGCCACATGTCAAGAGCTGACACTCTCAGCTAGACATTAAATTATGTTGAGTATTCCCTGCCCCGCTATTGCACGACCTGCCCATTCCTCGTGCCCATCTTTCCCTAGACGACAGCAGTGAATACATTTCAGCCCGGTACCAAGCATAAGAAGATGGAGCACGATATGACAAACTTAGTAAGAGTTTGAATCCACGATGATCAGCAAGCGAGCGCTCGGAAGTTGTACTGCACACAGACGTGCATCCTACGTGTTATTGCTGTAGCGCGGGAATTCGCACTCGCACCAGTGTCACCGCGTGTACGATCGCCCCTGAGACAACAAAAATTCAAACACTGGACTTGTGGTGTTCACCAACAATATTGCCAGACCCGCTCTCGGTTCGTTTTGAAAGTCGAAGTGCCGGGCCTCTCGAAAACCGATGGTACATACATGCATCCACGGGGATAAACCCGTACCGTACCGCAAAGAACAAAGACAAACTATCGACCAAACGATACACAAGTCAATCAACATCAACGCAGGATATATGCTTTTTTCCTCACCCATCCCGCCCATTGAGTTCTGCAGCCTCTCCATCGCCTCCGCCACCTCGAAGTCCTTCGCCGTCTTCGGTTCGAACTCGTAATCCTGGCGGTCCTTCGGGGCCTTCACGCGCTTCTTCCCCGAGCACCGATCGCTCCACTCCCCGCAAGCTGCCTTTTGAAGCTCCTGCGCAAATCACGTCACAGGACACGCGCGTCCGGTCAGGTTTTCGAAAACCGAACGTGTCCCCCGACACACGAGAAACACGGCGTGGGTTTGGACTAGAACTGGTAGAGACAGGGTTGGGGGGGGGACGCGATCTATTTGGAGGGGTAAGGGGCGGTGAAGGGGTGCAGCTCCCTACGCCAGACGCACAAGAATCATGGAACACTTTGCAAGGGTAGAGCGACGCGACCCTTGCCACTGCCGCAGGCCGCTCGGCCGAGAACCTTCCACGATTGGGTGTGTGGCGGGTAGCGTGACCTGCATTCTATACTACATCGTGCCGGCCGCCGGTTGGCCTGGCATTGCAAGTCTTGATCCGTTGAAGCAGCGGAACGGGCACGTTTGGAGTTTCTATCGAGGTCTTGCACTTCGGGGGCGTGCAGCCACGTTCCTTCAGGCTCGAACTGACAGCCTATACAAACCCTTTGATGAGCAGCTCGTCCCAACCAGAGCAAAATATAGTAGATACGCTGCCAACGGAAGCATGCCAACGCCCAGAAAAACAGACAACGTGCACTCCTGTCGTCTACTGCACTCGTTCCACCACCACAATCGTTCACCGTTACCCATTGCCGCTTTAGCTCTCTGGACACGCTGTTATATCACATAGAGGGGTCCTATGCCCTTCCTGCACGCCGACGTCTGTTCTGTTCAACATAAACAATACGCTTGTGGTCGACAGGGCTGCGTAACAAGGACAAAAGAGTATTGGCGGCACAGCAGCAGTCCAGGAGCAGCGCAAATGCCACAAATGACACACCGCTGTGGAAAGCCACCGAGCAGTGAGAGCCGAACGCCTGTGGGTGTGCTCACCGATAATCCCAGCTTGTTCTTCCATAGTGCCACCACCACCTCCTCAACGTCCAACTCGTCATCCACCAGCACCGTGCAGCTCTATTTAGTGTCGAAGAAACGTTCGGTTGTTCCGCAAGTTCCACGTCAGGCGCCGGCAGCAGCAGCAGCAGCAGCAGCAGCAGCGCAGAACCAGTTGTGTGCAGGAGCAGTAGAAACAGCAAGCGGTGAAAAGGCGGCCACGTGCTTTCGGCATCAAGAATAACAGCGAGTCCTACTTTAGTACCTCCTAACCTTTAACTGTGACCGCCGTGTAACTTCTTTGGTACGCTATGCTACACCCGTAGATATGAGACAAACGCGTTGGGGAGTGGTCGATATTTTCGGAGCGGTAGCTGTTGCAACAGCGTTTCCTCAAAATATTGCTGCTTCAATATGCTTGCCATGGGGCCCAAACGGAGAAGTGATACAGCAGTAGCAGCTTCAGAAGACTCCCCCCGATTCCGAAACACAAAACCCTCAAGCCCTCCCTCTCCGAAGCAATTCGTACCTTGGCAATGGTCTCGCACTCTTCCTTGCAGTGGGAAAAGCTGTCCTGCTTCTTCAACTCGAGATATCCCCCCTCCTGCAAAACCGAGAGAGACAAATATGAACACACAGCACAAGCATACAACAGGCGTCACTGTCCGTGTCCGAACCCATCGCAGCCATATTGATTTGACTCAAGGCACGTGGAAGGAAACAGACGAGACAAGCTTGGCTATGACGCACAAACCAATACCCAGTGCTTCGAGCAATGGCCAACCTATCGTTGATACCTCATATCCGTCTCTAACTGTAACCTTTTGGCAGTCTGCAAGTGATACTTGTACCACCCCATAACAAACCGAGGTTGCGGACGGTTCTACTCACGCCAGAGTAAACGAGGGGATACACGTACGCCGAATGCATACAAGTACAACTTTGGAAACACACGACACGTGGAAACGTCGATATGTACATCTATCGAAACGTCCAAATCGTCATGACACAAGTCTGTGCGGGTAGAAAAACACGCGACAGCGAAAGGCCCCCCTCACAAGCCAGCATATCAAAGCACTGCAACGACGATAGTTTCGATGGGATCGCTTCTACTTGGGTGATTGGTGGCCAACGCAAGCCCCGGGGTGTGTGGGTCAAGGTCCGGGTGACTAAATGGCAAGGGGGGGCAGGTCTACGGAGCGCGCGGGATACGAATGATGATGCCATTCCTTCCTCACCTCCACGATGTCGTACTCCGTGATCCATCGACCCTCCTTAGTTGCGGGGTCGCAGGCTCCCTCTATCACCGTCGAGATATCGTCTTCATGAACCTTTGGGTGTTGTGGTATTGAGCGGCGGCGTGAGGGTGTCAAAAAATATCAAGACGCTCTAGCAGCTGCTACCTGTACTTACTTACGCACAGGATCACGAAACCCACACCACAGACAAGCAGTACCGTATGATGGCACCAGCAGCACTTCTCTTTTCTTTGGAAACGGAGCTCCGTAACGACGAGCTGGTATGCACGCACACCAGATGCAGGCAGAAAGCGGGGAAATTGAACACATCGAGAAGAGGAGTCCCACGGACCAAAGACGAGGGGCTCATGACCCCTGCGGCGGCGGTCGTCCGATCCAACAACATATTCGCAGCACTGCTGTGGATTTCCCGGCGCCGAGGCAGCAAGAGTGTGGACGGACGGCACTACGATACTTGCACCAAACAAGAACAAACAACGTCGTCAACTACACGCACACCTTTCCGAAAGGCGCCGCCTCCCGCATCTCCGCCACCTTCTCGTAAAGGTGCTCCGCCAGGCCTTGGCAGACCCCGCACTTTATTGCGGCCAGGTCGCCTGCATTAGAGAGGACGAGACCGAGGAAAATGTAGAGGAACTCAGTCAGGTAGGGGGTAGGGATTTACTCAGAAACATACCTTCACGACTGCAAGAAGAGGAGAAAAGGAGGCCTGGGTGTGTATGTACGGCGATGCGAGCGGCGGCGGCGGCGGGGGCAAAGAGACGTGCACCCAGCGGCGAACATCCGTACCCCATCACGCACAAGAAAGAGACTACGATTGCTTGGCCCAGTACAATGGAGGCAAGAATAAGACACAGCACTACGCGAATAAGCGCAGCACACCACTGCTGTGTATCAACTTGGAAATGTTGCGCGATCAAAGAGGCCATGTCGGCAGAGACGATGTTGTCGATGCTTTCGAGAACGTTTGATGGTTTTGAGTCTAATGTACGTGGACAGCTATTATTAGTATAGTCCGCCGTTGTCTCACCCACTTTGGTCCACACGCTGAAGGCTACAACAACCGAAAGATCTCAGCGATAATTCCTTCACCCATCTCTCTCAGTACCCCCCCGCTAAAGACATCCAACCAAGGGGATTCATCCGCCAGCTGAGGGCGCTCACGACGACACGCATGGCATGCCGCGTGCGGGATGACCAACGACAGAACGTACCCCTGTCAAAGAAGACCCGAACTTTTGCTGTACCTCGTTAACATCCCGTCCCATACAACAAGGCGTGCTGCTACCTGGGTTCTTCGCCTCTTCTACTGCCACCGTGCTCAGTGGCACGAGGCTCCCCCGCGAGACGTTATCGCAAATCTACCGGCCAAAACAGGGGGGAAAGAAGGATCGCAGATCGAGCGAGCGGATGCGACAGCAGCACAGGCGACTCACCTTTGACTGGGTCGCTCTTTGGCTTGGGCGGCATGCCGAACTGGGCATTGAGCGGGATGGCCGCGGCCGCAAGAGTCAACACTGCCAGCGCCCTCATAGTATAACACACGACAGGATAGTTGCCAAGAGAGATTGAGCACAGCAGCAGCGGAGCCGTGTGGTGTTCGTGGTGGTGTTCTGAGCGGGAGCTCCGGGAAATCATTCTCTAATTTTCTCCTCCCTACTCACACATCTACGCGACGCAGCTCCCGGTGAAATTGCTCGAAATCAGTATTGAGCAGCAGGGCAACACACCGCAGGACAGAGGAGCGGCACCAGCGCAGTCAGGAGCGTTACAGCAGACTTGCCATGGATAGGCGGAGAGCGAGAACGGCCTTGTGCACCTATTTCTTGGCAGTGGGCTCTTCCAGGGCGTACGCTTTTGCGCCCTCGATTCTGCATGTAAGAGGCAGAGCGGTCCTGTAGGATCGATCGGCGTGTGTTCATGCCAGGCTGGGGATGGTCGGGATGTTGATGAATGTGTCATGAAGAACCTTTTGGTATCATGCCTGTTCTACTGTGGGGGGAGCGTCGCCGGCGGGAATTACGTTTGCTTATGAAAGAAATGCAGCGGAGGACGCGGTCTACGGCAGCAGTACATGGGTACAAGTAGAACTGCTGCGTGTGGTATGAATCGATCATCACGTGGACGTACAACGTTTACTCTCTTTGAAAGGCGTTGTGTGTCAGAGGCACCTTGGCGAGCAGCGGCCTTGGTACTGCTCGTGCATCATAGGAGTGTAGCTGTCCTTGTAAGTTCTCCTCAGCAAGATCAGTCATGCCTTCTGGCCGTTACCGTTTTTGCGCCCTTCTTCACCTACGGCTGTTTGAAGTTTGAAGTAGTTCGTCCAAAAGGAATACAAGAAGAGAAGAAGAGCGGGTTCGAAAGAAGTTTCATGTGTCACATTTGCATGAGTGAACGTCGTAAGTACCGCCCGTTAGTGTCTGGTTATATGCAAAGGCTCTCTTTGTTTGTGCTTGTGCCTACACACATCTAGCGTAGAAAGTCTGCTGCCTGCCTGCTGGCTGGTGTCCCGTGTCTCCAGGCTCTCTCTCTCTCTTTATTGGGTTGGGGGTATCATATATGTGTCCTCAATACAAACAAGACTTTCTTTTTGGCTTCAACACCGCCACCTTTGGCGTACATCCCGTTTGACCGCTGTGGTTTATGTCTCGATTGGGTAGTCTTTCTGCGTTTGTATGTTTCGTAGTACATAGTAGTTAGCCAAGAGGTAACCACCGCATCCGCCTCCCTCCTCTTTTCGCACAATTTGCAACAGAATGCCGACAACGACAAACTCACACCAGACCTCCCTCCCTTTCCCTCCTATCCAACAAAATCCTCGCTGGATACACACATGACGACGACATACCCCCCCCCCCCCCCCCCGTTGAGC